TGAACAAAAGTCAAATTAATTAAATGTTAATGTTAATATTATGTTAAACCTACACACATATATCGTGTTGACACAACACAATCAAGATGGATTAATATAACATGATTTGTTTAGATGGAATATAAGTGGCAAGATAAAATTACGTTCATCCAATGAATTATTTTTTTGAGTGTAGAAGCTTTACAGATTTACAGGCTAGAGTGAAAGCACACTGAAAAGAATGCCAGCGCCAGAAGATAAACATTGAAATGTAAATGCAGATTGGGTACTCTCTAAATGGCATAAAAGGAAAGTTTATGCCCAAATACTCTCGAGGAGGGGGAAAACATCAATAATTACATTCCTGGCCACCAGATATGATAGTGTTAGGCGACCCAATTCTCGGGTTTGATTTACCAGTGCCGGTCATCCAGAAAAACAAGAAAATACCAGGAAAATAGAAAAAGAGGGAATAATCAATATTTCTGCATAGCAAGGCGATAATGGATCCACAGAGATTGGTTATCTGACTCTACTGCAGCATTTCTGACCATTTAGTATCACCACTTCTGGATGCATTAGATAGCTGTTTCCTTTGAAAGAGCAGTAAAATGCACTGTGCACCATCTGACTGGCAGCGAACAGCAGATACAAAAAGTTAGCTGAAGAGACACGTATTTCCCCGGAGACTTAGCAGAGGGCAAAACAAAGCTGAAAAGGGAATGAATATTGGAGTTACATTCATCAAACGGACATGAACACGACTCCATATAACACTGCTAATGCAGCTAATGGATGTGTTCAGTGTGTGGCAGCTGTTTGGTAACAGGCTTCCAGCCTAAAGGCTAATATGTCAGTGACCAGAAGCCATCAAGCATTATATGAAAGCGAGGAAAAAGGAAAAAAAAAACCCTGAACTCTTAGTTAACTGTTTATTTTTTTGCCAGTTATTGAAATTAAGATTATAATTTACCCATTTATGGAGTGTTACAGTCTTTAAATTTCTCTCTGATGATAAAATAGCGTCTTAAAATCAGAATAATTAGTCTGTAGAAACTGAATCTCCCAGGTGCAGAGGAACTGACTGAACAAAGCTGTGCAAACTAAACCCATGTGACAAAGACCAGTGGCAATAACTGAATTAATGATTCTTGTCTTGTCTTGTCTTGTCTGTCTGTCTGCATGTGTGTGTGTGTTGGGGTGTAGTGGCCATGTACAGGGAGCCCTCCCTCCATGACTTGACAGAACTCTCCCGTTCAGGCAGCGGCACACCGACCAAGAGCCGCAGCGCTTCGGCCCTACTTAATGGCGGCGGGAAGACACCCAGCAACAACGACTTATCCTAGCCCCCCGACCCCTCACACCGTACCACACATACACATGCACATACACACGCACACTCAGACACACTCCCATGCAGACACACACATACACGCACAGATCTCAGGCCGACATGCCCACACATCAGACTGGTGAGGGGTGGGAGAAAAAGAAGGAGGACGGGGACGTGTTCTTCCACTAAACGGAGCCCACTGTGACTGACTGTGATGTAAATAAATCAAGGACAATCAATCCGTCTGGCTCTGCTGCCCCTGGTGTGCAGAGGGACGGGACCTGCGACTCTCTTCCCTCGACCGGTCCTCCTGCTGTATCGTGAACAGTTGGAACAAGCGAGGGAGCGATAGAGAAGAGGGGACAGAGGAAGTCAGACAGTCAGTCACGCAGTCAGATAAACAGACTGTTACAGAGAACCAAAGAGTACAAGTATTAACCCACTAGGTTATTACTACGAAATGGCACGCGGCTGGAAAGTTACAGGGAGTTACAATGGAAGGAAGTCTTTATCTAATCTACCGTACGCTATGTTTACACAGAGCTCATGGGTTTAAGTCATATTTTTAAAACTGACAAACATATTCCTTGTACACTTATAAGGACTTATCATTTGTTTGCATGCAGGCGTGCCTGTGCATGTGTGAGAGAGAGCGCGAGAGAGAGAGATTGAGTACATGCTGTGCTTGCGATAGGCGTGCTGTGTGTGTGTGTTTGTGTGGGAGAGAAAGTGTGTGTGTGTGTGTGTGTGTGCACGCATGTGTCTTGAGGGTGGGGGTTGGGATTTTACCTTTTTAAGATCTGTTGTATATTGGACAACCCCCCCGAGGGCTTGAGCAGGTTACTGTAAGGTTTACTGTATATGCTTCCATGCTTACTTCTTACAAGCAATGCAGTCGTTTCTCTTTCCGTTCGTCGTTGTTGTCCCTTGCCGTTTGTTTGTTTGTTGTTGCATGGAAGCTTGTGGACCTCTGCTCAGTAGCAGCATGCTGAAGGTCCTTTTTCTTTTCCCCCTCTCTCCTGGTCTTACGTGTTCCTGACCATAAGAGAACACTAGTGAGCCAATAGTGTGATACCAGAACACTAGTGAACTAATGTGAGGGTGTTAGAACACTACTGGACCAATAGTATTGCACCAGAACACGGGCGGACCAATGGTGTTGGACCAGAACTTTGGTGAACAGCACAGATTAACTTAATATTTTGGTTCCTGCTGTGGACAAACTAGAAATGCACTAAATAAACTCTTTCTAAGGAAGTGAACTGTCTCCCTTGTGTATTTATTCAAGCATTTTGCACCTGGCTGATGTCATGTCTGTTTCAAATGTTTGAAGTCTGGCTTATATTATTTGAATTTTATCAACAGTCAAGGCAGCGCTCACATTTCTTTTTCTTATTACATAAGACATATTTTTATTCTAGTGCTCCAGTGGGCTGCTGATAGTTTTGGTTTCGTGCCCAGCGCCGACGGTTTTACCACCACCAAAGGCGGAAGATGAATTAGTCCCTATGAAAACGTGTTGATAGTGGCTTGTGTGGATTACCGAGTGTAACAGTGCTGATTTGCTAGCACTCCATAGCGGGGGTCTGTGAATACGACCTCGCGGATTAATGTAAGACTTCAGGCATGAAAAATAATAATTAATGTAAAACCTCACCAACTAATCATGGTAAAAGCTCATTAAATAATTACGCAAACCCTCATGAATTATCAGGAGTACATAAATATAACAGCTCTTGCATGAAGCGGTGCGTTAATTAATGCCACATGTATGTCATTCATTGTGAATTAGGATATATTGATCATGTTCATAGTCATCTGCAGTTTACAAGGTGGGCTCTAAAACAAAATTTGCACATGTTTATTATGTTTAATTCCAGATGTTGCAGTCATGATGAGTTAAGCATGGCTCTTCATGTTTTTGCTTGGTATTATAAAGTGGTGACCTGCTCCTTCATTAACACTGTTAAATGCTAAATGATGAATAATGGTGTTTATTTTAAATTGTCTTAACTTTGTAGTAATTTAGAATGGATAATACAGTCATGGTAACAAAAAATTCTAATGTTTTGCATATCAAATAATAAAAATCATCTGGTCCTTGGCAGGTCTTATAAATATACAAAAGAGTGTGTCATTATTTATTTAACAAAGATTAAGCCAAAACAAAAGCAATGTGTGAAAGCTAACACCTTTACTGGTTCCACAGGGATAAGATGGTAAGAAGTAGCCAGATGCTGCTAATCAAAAACACTTGATTGATACTGATAACCAACCAAGTGTGAGAACATCTATAAAAGCAGACGTTTTGGCACACGACGCCAATGAGGAACGACAGCAGCACTGATTGTAGAAAAGCAATTGTTGCCGCCAATCAGTTTGGCAGATTTTCCAATTTGCCCTTCCAAAGTGAAAACAATTGAGACAGTGGCCAGTGGACTACCCAGCAAATAAATACAATTAGAAAAAGGTTGAATAAGTTTATTCTTTTTCTGGAAGGGTTTTTAGGAGAAAGCATCTTCTCTTTAAAACCAACATAGTAGCACGTCTTAGGGTTTGCAAAGCTGTTTCTGAACAAACCACAAGACGTCTGGAACAATGTTCTTTGGGCATATGGACAAAAACCAACCACGGAATATCAGCACAAACTCCTCGTACTGACTGCCAAGCACGGTGACCTCAACCCGACTGCTACCCTCAAACAACTGAAACAATGCTGTAAAGAAAAGCGGGCAAAAATTCTCCCACAAAGATGCGAGAGACTGATGAAGTCATACAAATGATTATTTCAAGGTACTTCAAATTATAGCTGATAAAAGTGGTTCTACTAGCTTAAGAATCACGGGCGTGCTTAAATAAATAATGATAGTGTATTATACATTGCTTCTCTTCATCTGAGGTTGTATTAACTTAATCTTAAGAACTGGTGAAGACCAGATCAATATTTTTAATTATGCCCTGGTCAAATGATGTAAAACAAAGAATCGGCAGCCGTGACTGTATGTTTGATACAGATATTAAAAACACGCAAACCACTTTATCTGAAGGCTCACAAAGAAGCCATGCTTGTTATTCAGACATTTGGAGTTTAACAGAGCACGTGAATGATGATAATCGAAAACCGCATGGTGCTGCACTGAACATATGCATAAAACACTTAAGTTAATCACTGTAGGATCCAAACAGGATTCTGGATAAAGTGAATTTGTGTTTTTCATGCATGAAAATGTTTTTTATGACTTGTACCATGAACAGAAATGACATTTATTGCCTTATCTAGCAGACGAAGAGAAAAAATTATAACGCTGTTTTATTCACATTCACCTACGTTCTACTCCAAACCATAAGCCTTTAAACACTTTCTCACTGTCTCACAATCAGTGAGGTCAGCTACAGTATTGGGCTCCGTAAACTGTCCATGGAGACCTCAACAACATGCAAGCTGGAGGAGCTGGGCATTGAACCACTGCCCTCTCACATAGTAGCTTTGACTGTAGTTATCTTCACATTAAGGAGCTCCTTGAACTCTTATAAGAGAGGAAAAAAACTTAAGTATTGACTTATTTTAATGTTGAAGTTAGCATAATTAACTTCAACTTGCCCTTGGAAGCAAAACAAGAACATTAAAACAAAAGTGGTATTTTATTTGACCACTAGATGGTGCTTCTATTTCAGAGCTCTGTTGCTATTATTGGTAACTCATCTTAGGGGTGGATGGGAGGCAGCAATAAAAGAAACTCTGGTAAAGAATCTTAAAAGTCTAAAGAAATGAGGGAAAATAAACACAGGGGATATAAAATAAACAGTCCCAAACACAAATATTCTTTATAAAATTATTTACTCCAACATTTGCGTGTGTTCGTTTCTCAGTGAAGGGCAAGTAAAGCAGACACAGGCATTTATCTTCAAATGATTCAGCTGAGAGGGGCTGAGGACACATTTATGCAATCACAAAATACAACAAGATAAAGTGCAAAAGTCAAATGTGAAAAATAAGAGTCATATAAAGGTTAAAACCAATTGTTTCACATTGCAACAACAAACATTTATTCGTTGCTTTTAGGAACAGTGTCTACTCGATATTTTTTATTAAACGTATAAATACACAATTAAGATATGAGATTCTGTACTTCTCTTACTAATAATGATAATTTAAGATTATAACTAAAAAATTTTCTTTAACTGGGTTTTTCATTTTTCATTTCCAAGTATCAAGTATAAAAATAATACAAACCAGTGGGTGTAGCTAAACGTCTTGCCTGTAACGCTGAACTCACAGTGTTGAAGAACTACACTCTCCCTTTGCTACGCTTTCCTTTTTTTTAAAACTTTCTGCAGCCCTGTGCAAATGTAAACACGCATGCAAACTCACACCAACACGTACACATCACGTTCATAGTGATCCACATTAACACGGTACTGATGTATCAGCTGAGCATGTCGTATTTACAGTAGCTGGTGCAGCATCACGCTGCCTGCACTTTTCCTTTAGATGAAATGAGAGCGCAATGCCTCCGAGTCCATCCTTTCTCTCTTCAGTGCCAGTTTTCTTGCTCTTCTTGCGTTTTCCTTTCAAACGTCCTCGTCTCCATCTGTCGATCTGTTTATGATCACTCTATGTCCCCTTCTTTGACTCCCACTCCTGGAAACCATAAAACGGGAGCATGTGAGTCAAACAGTTTTTGGTCCTCGCACACACAAACACACGCGCACTCTACCTTTGCCTTCTGCATCACATTCCCCTTGGAGGAGGCGTAAAGAGACGGAGGCCGCTTTCGAAGCTCAGATGCCGCGTTGACAGGCACAGTCTCCATGTAAACCTTTTCAACCTTACTGCCCTGCGCCTACGCACGAACACACAGGCAACCCCCCCAAAAAACAGTAAAAGTTTGATTTCACTTATTTGAGCCCAGTGATGTTACTTTAAAAACAACACAAGCAGACCAAAAATTCTTCCAGTCAAAAGCAGATGGATTACTAAAACAAGCATACACAGTGAGACACAGAAAGAATGAAGAGAGAAACACCAAAACAAGCAAACACAGAAACTCATTATAAATGTCTAAAATGAGAAACATATGTTAGCAAACAAACATATAAAGCCTGATAAAATAAAAGTCAAATAAATAAGGGCCATATGGTCAAATAAATGACTTGTCTGGTAACAGACACTGCACACTGATTTAAAGGATTTGTCTTAATACAGTCCCAGCTGTCCATATGAGAAATCCCTCAGCTCATGTTCTGGACAAAAATCAACCGTAAATCTTCACTGAAGCTCATATGAACTTTTAGCAGTCGTTGATATTGATGTATTTTTAGTATCATCTTTTTACCTCCATCCTAAACAAAAAACCTCACGACTGCATTTAAATGTATTCCTGGCCTCTTGGTGATCTCTCTGTAGTCAGTATGGCATTAAGAACTCTTATAAGAGCGTTTGTATATATTTTAAAGTACATTCATTAAGAGTTTTCTAAGGAGAGCTTCGGTTCCAGCTGTAAACAGATGTGTGTGTTTGCTGCCTACCTTGACGTAGATCTTGGTATCAGTAGGTGGACCCAGTGCCCCTCTAGCCAGTGACTTCTTCAGGTTTTCTTTGACCTCTGTCAGTCTCAGCTCCAGCTCCACCCGTTCCTCCTCCTTCTGTTTGCACAGTGTTTCCAGCTCAGCTAACTGCTTTTCCACACTATTACCTGAACACACGCACACCCACACACACACTCATAATTAGGACCGCTATGAAGCCTACGACTGAACAAGCGCTGTGTGTGTGATTCGTCTCTGACCTGTGCCGCTCTTCCCCTCCTCCTTCAACTGCCTTTTCTCCTTGCGCAGGGAAATCAGTGCATTTCTGAGGTCCTCCTTCTGCTTTTCCAACTCCTCTTTCTCTCTCAGGTACCGCCTGGCATCCTCCTCTGCCCGCGTCTTCCCATACCGCCCATACTGATTCACATCTAGGATGTGAAAAAGAAGGAAATGAAGAAAGATTTGGCCACATTTGAACCCAAATCACTTTCATGGAGACAGTCTAATGAATTATGAAATTAACCGAGACTCACTGGAGGCATGTCTCTTAATGGCAGCCTGTTGTTCAGTTTTCTCAGAGTCCCTGCTGGAGAACGAAGCGTGACGTCTCACCTGGCCTCCTCTGCTCTCCACATCCACTTCCTGCAACAGAATAATTTAATTAATTCTACTTAACAAAATGTAATAGGGGAACTTTAAGGAAAAGTTCCCATACAAACATGTAAATACTATATGTTTGTATGAATGATAAATATAAGCTTTTTAAAGATCGGATTAAAAAAAACAACAACATATTTTGGTAATCTATTATCCAAAATCTTATTAATAGTTTCACTGGGGCTCCAGTGAAGCTCAACACAGAATGGTATTAAAATCCTAAGTTACAAAAAAATGGTGTTTGTATTCTGTAAATTTGCAATAAATTTTAATAATGAATGTAAGAGAGAGGAGAGGATTTAAACATCTCTGTGTCTGCTGTGTTTAATATAAAGGTCTTTGTATCTTATCACTTGCTTACAATTAAAGAAAAATAAAGTTTTCTCACCGCAACACTTTCATAGACCTCATCGTAAGTTCTGGAGTCTATTGAAGCACTACTGGAGGAGTTAGCTGTTGTGGCCCACCTGGGAGAAAAAGAAGAGGAAGATATATGAATACAAAAATGAGTATTTCAGAATAAAAGCTGTAATAAAAGACTGTTGGGTAAACATATGCACAAAAACGCATACTGTTGACTCACAAGAAGGAGTGTCTGGCAGCATGCCGTATGTCAGTAAGTGTGTCCACATCGATGTAATCGTAGTGCAACTCTTCAGGGAGAGTGCTGCTGCCGGTCTCTGCAAACAAAACTCCAAGCCAGCGGCCAAGAT